TTTGCTTACTTTTGACGAAAATCTGGCACGTCGGGAAACAGTAAAACGGTGGCAAGTGGTTTTTCAAAATCGCTCGGCAACGCCTACAGCACTGTACATTTGTGGGGTGTCTCAATGTCTCTTTGCAGAGATTGAAAGTTGACATTCATTACTAGCCGAAGGCAAAGCGAGGCTTGCAGCAGCCTTGCAGAAAGTTTTGAAGAGCCAAAAGAAGAGCACCAGCTAGTCGTAATGCACCTTTGTCTTGTGTACAATTTAGCATTGCACTGCTGTAGTTACATGTTTCATCAGTTGGAGGCCGCTTCCATTTTGTTATATTATACAACTAGTCAACCTAATGCTGTGATATTTACTACAAAGCTGGTCATTTTCATATAAATTTTAATATCTGCAGTTTGGTTCTTATTTCTCTATACCGGGTACAATTTAACTGAAGCATTGCAAAATGTGTTATGCCATTGTCATTTCAGTTATACATGTTGAAAGATTCCCAGGTTTGTTTACTGCAGCGAGCAAAGTGTCCTTCGTTTGTCCAGTACTTAAAACAAATAATTTTATTCTTGTGGCTCCTCGCGCCCCGCTTGTCGGCTTTGGCAAAACCCAAACTTCCTCTCTTCAACAATTTTCTCTTCTATCAGCTGTTATCCTTCCCCCCCCCTCCCCCCCCTCTAACTAACAACAACCGTTCGTCCCTTGGCTGTAACTACCACGCTAGTATTTCCTCTTTCACAAGTCTTCTCTCTCTCTCTCTTTCTTTATTAGGACTATCTGCTCCAAAAGCCACCTTTGCTGCTCAATAACACTCTTGGCTGCTCCAAAAGCCAATTTTGCTGCTCCAAAACACTGTTTTGGCTGCTCCGAAAGGTGCTCCAAAACGGCTTAGGCCAATCACATCACTGTGATTATGTTTAGCAGATATTGTCAATCATGTCTTATTTATGAACGTCAGAGGTATATTTCATTTTTCATTTCAGTGTCCCTTCAATTTAAGAAATGCAGGGTGTGACGGGTTCCGAGCAACTTATCTCTGCGCAGCCAATGAGTGCAGCATCAGCCAACATGAACGAAAAAAAAAAAAAACTAGTGTTGTGCGCGAATATTTGAATTTTCTAACAGTAGTTTTGAATATTAAGCTATTCGATATTCGCTTCGAGAGCAGTTGTAATATTCGTGGTTTCGAAGTGTTAGCCACCTCGAGTCGCGAGTTTGTTTACTGTAAAAGAATCGGTAACGATTTCTAAAACCATAAATATACCCACACGTTCGGCAAAACGGTACAAGTATTATGGTGGAAACTTTCAAATATATTCATCGTAGTCATTTCATCAATTTTGTAATAACGGGCAAAAGAAACCAAGCAACAAGCTCCAGAGACGCCGGCGCCACCTTTGCCAATCTTGGTGCCCTGGTTGCCAGCACTTTTTTCTCTGCACCGCCTTGTCCAGATACAAAGTTAAAAAAACAAGTTTAGGATAGAAGTAAATATGTTTAGAAATTTCTCATAACCTGCGTAATTTCATTATGCAGGTTCATTTCTTTCTTCCATAATTTTTTAGCTATGTAATTCCATTTAGGCTTTTAATGTTTGTATTCCAATAGATAAGTCATACATGAATTAATTATGGTCTCATTCTTACAAATCAGTCCACTTAATAATTACGCATATGCAATAATTATCTTGCATGCCACTTTTGAGCCAAGATTTTTGAACACCAACTATTCAATATTCGATTAGAAAATATTCAGCCAAAATTGCTATCCGCTTCGAGTTCAATTTGAAAGCAAAATCCACTATTCGCACAACCCTACAAAAAACGGATAATGAGGCAAGATGAGTGAACGTAGTAAGTCATGCCCTGCGTTTTTTAAACTGTCGGTAGTTACGGTATTTACTCGCATAAGGAACACACTACCAACAATGGGCATCAATATTTGGACTTTTATTTTTCTCGTGGAATAATTGCACTTTTTATTTTCGGCTCCGCGACTCTTGAAGCCAAATTTCTTTTGCCGCCAAGCGGCCAGGCCAAGTCAAGCCAAGCCAAGCCACTCTCGTAATTGCTGCAATTGCGTGGTTGTGGAAATGACCAACCGTGAAACCAAGCAGCGCGCATGCCTAGCGAAGCTGGGGTCGAGGAATTGCCCAGCCCTGGACGTGCTTCGTCCATTGGATGCATTGATATCAACAAGCACGCCGTCTTCTGTGATCCGCTTTCGGACAGTGATATTGTGAAAGGGGGTGGGCCCAAGAATGGTCGCGTTGCTCTCTGTGCTGAGTGAGCTTTGTAGGGCACTTTTTCTTTGGCAAAGGCATACCAAAAGCGCCCTACAATAAGGTTTGCAATTTATAGAGCATGCTTACTGTGGTGCACCCACGACGAGCCATGGGTGCACCTCTGTCAGTGGAGATGTGTCTCAGTACCCTGCCATGTCACATTGGCACCTAAAATGACATTCACGCAAAGTGTGTAAATGCAAAAGTTTTACCCCGCATAACGAACGCACCCCACAAATAGGTGTAAATTTTTTGGGAAAAAAGTGTGTTCATTATGTGAGTAAATACAGTATTAGAGCTGATTTATAGAACTGGTCCCAGCTGAATCCAGCCAGGACTAGCTTCATAATCTAGTTGCAGCTAAACTGTTTTTTTACAGCGGAGCTGTTAAGGGCTAGTTTCCCCAGGATCGTGTCCCCCACAAACAAGTGAAGACACTGAACTCTGGTCACCTACCGCCATCTATGAGCGACAGCGGCAAGCCACATATCTGGTTGCCGCCGTCGCTCATAGATGGCAGGAGCCTATTTACTCTGGCTTGCCGACTTGCGGCCGGCCATTACTTTCCATTGTACAGCTCCGCTGGTCTTCCTTCTTCACCAGAGTGGAAAGGCTAAGCGTTTCTACCTTGGTATAGTCGCCGACCGATTTTTTGGATGCCGATAATTTTAACTTGTTCTATATTTTGAACTTAGAGGAACCTTGACCTACCCAAAAGAAATGGTGCATATTCACGACCAATGTTTCGAACAGCTTGAAGTCCAGAAGTTAGATTTTTGTGACAAAATTGTTGCTAGCAATCAGCAGGAAACGCTACCGAGAAACTGCCATTTTAGATTTGGCTGCACATGGATTGGCTTGGTTTGACAGCGCTACCTGAGTACTGCGAAGTCCTACCACCGCCTCTCATCTCATCTCGGTGAATCATGTTTTTGGACTATGTTGGCTTGGACGTCATGGCCCCACCTGTTCTTCCGCCACCGCAAAGTGTTGCGAAGAAGCGTGGAAACTACTCCATCATAGCGCTAGAAAAGAGGGCAGTGACTCTAAAGCTAATAGAAAGTGGCCAAACGCAAGCAGAGGCTTAACCTGAAGGAAGGCACTCTTTGCTTTTTCAAGCCTGCTTAGACATAAAAAAGGCATGTTTTTTAATCTGCTGATTTTTCAGGCTACTGTATTCAGAGGTTCTTTCAGTCCCTGCAAAGTCCGAAGAATCAGTCAAAGACTAGTTGTTAGGTACATGTTTTTATAAGAGTAATTGGGCTGTCTGTAATAAAATGATACCCAGTTTATTTCTTGTTTAGCATGCCCTGCAGGAGCCTTGCACATCCTTGTGTGGCCTCTCACGACCTTTCCCATTCAATGCTAAACTACAAAAAGGTGTGTATAGAGATTCGAGCATTCGTTTGCTGCTTCTTGCCCCAATGTGACGGCTCTAGACTTGTGCCACGAGACACATGGTTATTGTTTGCAGCGTTTGATGACTTTGCCTTTGAATTTATGAATCTTTATAGATAACAGCAGCTAATATGGAATTGAAGTAGTGTTCTTTAATAGTGAGAGTGTAAATCTAAAATGGGTGATCAACAGGGCAGAAAGTTGGGTGAGTTGGTTGATCATCCTACAGGGTGGGAACAGCGCAAATTTGACGGACAAGAAACAAGAAGTGCACAAAGTGCTGATAGTCAACTGTAGGTTTATTTCCCAGCAAACCAGAAAAATAAACGCAAAAGAGGGAAAGCAAAAAAAAAAATAACTGATAAAAAGACTCCTACCACACCATATCACTTTCACACTTTCTTGTCCTTCGTAAAATTTGCACTGTTTTCACCCTGTTAGTTAAAGTGGGGGCTAGGCTGTCTGAAGAGGAACTGTAGAAGATCAGTATTATGACACTGCTCAAAGCATTAGGAAGTGGCATCTAGGCGTTCGTAAACATTGCACTAAGGTCCTAAAACAGGCAGCTACCGAAAGCATGATCAATGATGAGGTCTAGGTCCCATGTGGCAAAACAACTACCGTAAAATACTGAGAATCTGCCTATTCCATACTAAGAGCCCATCCTAAAACTTTGCAACATCTGAAAAAATATGCACAGTAGATTTTTAGGTAAAATTAATTACCTAAAAAGCACCCATTCCCCAATTTTCGCGATTATCTTCACATTTGGAGTGAGCACTTGCTCAATATTTTACGGTATATAAGAGTGCCTTTTGGCAACTGTATATACGGTCTAAGCTCGTTATAACTGACCTTGATTTTGACCTAGGTTTCGGTCTGTTGTAAGAGGAGTATGTTGTATGCAGATATGAAGTTGAGTCAATGGTATGTAGAGGAAAACCAACCGAACTCCACAAATCGGTATGTTATATCCAAATGTCTGTTGTAACCAGCTAGGTCTAACAACGAGACTTAATTGCTTCTGGGCCAACATACAAACTGTCTTCTGCAAGGCAGAGAATTTTTTAAAAAAATGGTCGGAATGCAAACAAGCTGATATAATTTTACCATGCTTGCTCAGGTTGTTTGTCCTTTTTTGCTCCACAGTCAATGACTCAGCATTTCAGAAAATTCTTTCCGTTTCATTCTCTCCTTGTTGTGAGGGCACTGAGGGAAAAGGGGGAGGGGGGGAAAGAAGAGGGAAAGAGCAGAAAGTGAAAAGTGTATACCATCCTTCTGGTTGCCAAACCTCTGGTTGCTCACCTCTCTCTGTCTTGGTGTGCAGGCCATCATCGACATTGTGGGCAACCAGGGTTGGCTGTGTCCTGCTCTCTCGGGCATCATTCTGCTCCAGATGATCATCCAGGCCAGGTGGCACACAGACAACACTCTCCTGACCCTGCCACACATTGACGAGGCTGCTGTCGTCTGCTTCAAGTGAGCTAGTACAGCTGACCCCAATTATATTCTAACGAAATCTCAGTTTGTTTTTTTGTCAGAGACCATGGACCTGACAGAAGACAAAGGCTTTTTTCCAGAGACCATAGCTGCAGCCAAACTTTGGTTATTAAGGTTTGATGTGGAGCTGTGGTGGCAAGAAGTGCACCACGGTTCAGACACAACACTGTTATACTGTACAGCTTGAAACCTTGCATAGCAATGTTAGGATTCTAGACCATGAGATAATTTTGCTCTCCACCTTTAAGAGAATACTCAAGTGGGAGCTTGCACAGTGCACTTAAAAGGCTCATTCGTTTTTAAGAGTTTTAGGTTGTAGTATAGTACTTCAAGTTGCATTATTGTCTTTATCGCTGTTGCTGAGTGGGATGTACTATAAAGGTGTATGGCTGGAAGACGGCAACTACTACACCCAGCATTTCTGTTGTCTTGACGGCCAGGATGGCCCTTATAACCAGGCTTGCACAGTTAGGATGCTTGTTGAGTCGCAAAACAAATAGTTACCCTAGGTTGTCCGAATTATTCGTTGAGTTAGGTAGATGCCCAATTAATGCAAATATGTGCATCCTACATAGGCTGCCATAGTTTTTGGCTTGCAACTGTTCAGAGAGACTCACATTGTTTTATAGACAGAGACACTGTTTACAAACAAGCCTGTGCTTGCCCGCATGAAGTGTGTGCACTGCACGAGTGTAGAAACCAGATTCGCGTGAGGCGAAGCCTCCGCGCATGCGCCGTGGTGACAACAGCGCCACCATAGAGGCGTGACATCAGAGCCACGTGTTGGTGTGTGAGGCTGCTCATATTTGTTTTTATTGACATTGGCAGAATTCTGCATAATGAACAAAATATGTTACAGATGTTAATGGTACTCAGTAACTGACATAAAACTTTGGTTTTAGAAGTAATATGTCTTTGTATGTGCACTTAAATTGACTAAGGACATACCATGGCACTGTCTCTCCCCCTAAGCTGGCGCACACCAACAACAACTATGATTTTCTGTGTAAACTTCCTTTATTAATCCAGCACTTAATCATAGTCTGTGCTATTAGTCTCAAGGGTTCCGTCAGTGTACAATAGAACCTTGTTGATACATTCTTGGTTCATATGATTTCCCGGTTCATACGTTCACGAGTGAGTGCATGGGTGTATGGGTCCATAGAATTGCGCTGTTTTTTTTCCAGTTCATACGTTCCCGAATAACATGATTTTCCAAAAAGTGCACTGAGGATTCTGCCAGATGTTGTTCGGATTATACTTTTCTTGGCAATCAATGTTGCATTCGCATATTCGGAGCTCCAAACATCCGGTCTCGACGAACGAGTGCCGAGCAGCCATCCTCAAGGACATACAACACGGCGCGCGCGTGCAGAGCAGTCTGGCCGCTGATAACGCCGCCGCTGCGTCTATTTTCCGCCACTTCCAGGAGCCGTCCGGGTGCACAAGGGCATTTTGATTGTAATTACAGAACACACAGCACAGTTTTACTGTTTTAGCTCATTATTCGATCAATCAAAGAATCTTTCCCATGAAATAGTAACGAAGGATTCCAAGTACATACTTTATGCATCTCGATTACTACTCCGGTGGCTTGAGCGAGAACCTCGGCACTCTTCGCCGGCATACTAACCACTCATAACAGCGCGTCCATCTGATGCTGTCATTCGTTTTCCTCTCGTCGAGTGCTACCACTGGCAAAATTGGTGCGAATGCTGTCGTAACGAGCAACTGAAGCAGCAACATAAATATCGAAACCCAAATACGGCTGTTTACCGATCGAGCCTCGCCCGTGCGAGCACATGTTAACTTCACTTGTCAACACCGGTGCAGTAGGTTCGATTATGGCTTTTCAAGCCTTTCTAAAGTAGACACGTGATTATAGGTATCCTCGGTAACTCCAGCAAGTACTTTGAGGCATTGTTCCGAAGGTTGAAAGCACCGATTGCAAGAGTGCACAAGAGTAACTCTATACTAGGACGTACATGGAAGTAGTAGCGGTAGTAGTAAATAAATGAATTTGGCATTTCTTTGTTTCTTTCTTTGCTTTGGTTCAGCTCCGGTTGATTTATCAAGTTTTGCCAACGTTTTGGCAGCTTTGGTTTCGCATTCTGCCCCAGGCCTGTGCCATCCCATTTCGCCATTTTTCCTGTGTCGTCTAGGCTCGTTTCGTTCTGCAATGGCGTCGCAAACGCGATGCCATCTCAGAACTGCTTGTTTTCTTTTTGTGTGTTTGTGTGTGTGTGATTGCTTAAAAATGGCGAGTTTGGATCGTACGTTTTCCTGGGTAATACTTTTTTTTTTCTCACGAGTTCTTCAAAACATATCAGCGAGGTTTTACTGTAGATGAATTGGCTGCATACTTGTCTTGCACTTACATGAGCCAGATTCAAATCTGGACAGAGATAAAGCTTTTTACGTATAACCAGTCAAGTTTACCATTTTCTTAAACTCTCGAGACTGGTTGAAACCGAAAAACTAAAGTAGAAGAAACGAGGAAAAAGACAACAAGAAAGCAATGTTTCAGATTCAGCTCGAACGGAACTGAGTTTGAGACGTTGCTTTCTTATTGCCTTGTCCCTGTTTCTTCTACTTTAGTTTTTCAGTTTCCCTACCCAGTCTTAGGTGCTTCAAGAAAATGGTAAACTTACTACACTAGCTCCTCGGCAGCATCACTGTATTATCATCAAGTTCATCATGAACTGTTTGCTTCTGCATATTCCGTGAAAGTTCCAGAATGTTGCAGGATAGAAACTTTTCATCCACTGTGGCCGCCGCAGGATGTTTGGCACCCATTTTTACTTGTAGGTGAATATTCACCTAATATAATATTCACTTTGAGTTGTGAACGCAAATATTTTTAGAGTGCAGCTCTTAGGCGCCCGTTTCCGGCTTGAGCGTTGTCGGCGTAATTGCGCGGTGCATTATGGGACGCGTGACATCACTGATGACGTCATCAGTGACGTCACCTACGACATCATCGGCATCCGCATCGGCATCGTCACGTGACCTCATAGGGGTCACGTGACCCCGGTGACGTCACGTGACCCTCGTGAGGTCACGTGACCTCACGAGGAGGGAGGAAGGATATACGTTCCCCTCAGTACCCTTTTCTCCTCCTCCTCAAGAGCTGCACTCTAATTCAGCGTTACAGGAAGTTGTAAACGGCTTTCACTTTTTTTATATATAAAAAGCTGTAGTGCGACTGGGTATCTTAAAATAACTTAATGCCCTATTAATTTCTTCACAGAAATGATAATCTCTCAGTGTTTTTGTAATTCTTGATTAGGAAACATTAATATCGGTCTTGGTTGCCAAATTTTAAAAACATTCTTCATTTGGACACTGATGACCTGGAGGTCACAACAATGCACAATGTGGTAGGTGTCAGGGCCGTGTATAGAGAGAGAGTGGTTAATGGGAGGAGCCGGCAAGAGCCAGGTTGGAGCTGCGAAAGCGTTGCCGCCGCCAGTGCCGCATATTCCCCCCTTGATAATCCTGCAAAGTAAAATGAAGCCGAAATGACCTTGAAGGAGCCTTGCACCTCGGCACAGGCATTTTCTGTTTCTGGATGGGGCTGAAGGTACATGAATGGATAATTGCAAGAGATTGGTGGAAATAGAGTACACATGGGTGGTAGTATGACCTGCTGTCGCTACAACTGTCTTGCCCAGGTCCATCTCTGTGGATTCGTTACCGGAGGCAGTTCAGCTGTGCAACGAATCTCCAAAAGCGTTGGAGAAAGCCCTTCACGAAAAACTACAAGAAAGGCAACTGCACCAGGTATGTTGGTGTTAGAACAGAAAGCCTGATGCAGGGGCTCTCAAACCTTTCGTTCTTGAGGAACCCTTATCTGGGTTGACTGATAGCCGAAGAACCTCTGCCAGTCTCAGCATCGAAATAATAAGGCAGTGGAGAAGTCTACAGGCCTTGTACATTCTAAGGCACAGGCTAGGGAATGTTTGGCTCATAGTTATGCATCGATGAGTGGCTCAGTTCTGCTAAAATAGTGCTTAAAGCGAAAAAAAAAACACTTTACTTAGGGGCTGGGAAGGTCTCAAACTAGTTTCATAGGAGCCCAGTTTGAGAATTCGAGCGCTGTGCATATGGCGGTTTTGTTATCTGCATCTGAACCGTGACACTTTTGTCAATGGATCTTGTACTATACCCCATTCCACCTTACATTGGACCACAGCCAGCAGATGCTACGAGCCACCAGAACCAATCCAGTGCTTCACGTGGCATTGGTGTCATTGGCGTGGCATTGGTGTCATCATTCACCCTCAACCACCTATGACAACATGCGGAGAGTAGTGCACCGGTAGTCGAAGTGCATCGCCGCCGTTTGGTGCTACCAACTTGCTCAGCTTCAACCCGTAACAAGCTTCCTGGTGGCTTATGCAACACATTGCCAAGTGATGAATGATAAAACTCATGCAAAAGGCAGAACCTGAAAATTTTGGAATGTGATCCAAGGTTAGGAAGATCAGGTTGGTGACACTGGCATGATAAGAGTAGTCTGAATAGGTGAATCTTTGCACGATTTTGCACTTGAGTGTTTTAAAAAGATCAAATTGATATGGGTCCCAAATAGCACATACATATTCTAGTTTAGGTCAAACTAATGTGAGGAAAGATAGTAATTTTACAGATGGAGGAGCTAAGCGTAGGGTGCGACATAGAAAGCCAAGGACATGGTTTGCGTAATTATGTATGTTCGTTATGTGAAATGACCAGACTAGATTTTTTTTTTTTAATTAATGCCTGGGTACCTATTTATACAAAGGTACAGAGGATGAATGAACGACGGATGACGTAGTTAGGAGCTGGGTAAAATTGCCTGCGATGGAAAGAAATGACCAATGTTTTGTTAGCATTCAAAGACATTAGTCATTTAGTAGACCAAGCCTCAATATGATGCAAATCAGAATGCAGAGCATGAACATCTGTATTGTTATTTATAGAACGATAAACAATGCAGTCGTCTGCAAGTAAGCATTTGTTAGATGAGATACTAGCAGGTAGGTTGTTTATGTAAATTAAGGAAAGTGAAGGACCGAGAACAGTGCCCTGGGGCACCCCAGAAACAAACTGAGATCGGGGTGAAGAGTGGTTATTAGCATGAACAAATTGGTGTCAGTTGGTCAAGAAACTAGTATCCAGTCACAAACTTGGGGTCGAGGTTTAAATGCAAAATGCTTAAATAAGAGATGTTGGCGACGAGCTTTATCGAAAGTTTTTTTCGAAATCTAGAAAGAGAGCGTCTACCGGTATGTTATGGTCAGCACTTGAGCTTACATCGTTAGTTAAAAAGTGCAGTATTGGTGTCACAAGGAAGCCCTTTCAAGAAACTGTGTTGACTTGGGTGAAATAAATTAACAGATATATTAAGAAATTTATTGTGTGCGAGTAAATTATATGCTTCATTAATTTTGGTGAAACGCTGGGGATATAGATGAGGCAAAGGATGCTGCCTGAAGTCAAGAGCATTTTTTCGGTATGGGAACGATTTTGCTCACCTTCCATTCCAGTGGCACCACTGCAAGTGGAGGAGATTGCTGAAAAATATGTGACAAAAGGACGCTTGTGACGCTCTTTGTGTTTTTTTTTTATATCTTTGAGTTGTTGCCATCAACACCTGCAGATGATAGTTTCAAAGCTTCGATTGCTTTTAGGACATCATTAGTTTAAAAGAAGATAGTAATGTATGAATAGTGAATTTTGAGTTCAAAGCGAAAAGTTCTTTCGGCCAGATATTTTCTAATTGAATATTGAATAGTTTCTCTACCCCAGTGGTTCTCGACCACTGATTATTTTGGGGACTCCCTCTGTATTGGCAGAAGTGATGGGGAACTTTATCCACTGGTGGTATAGGACTATTACAATGACAAAAGGGTAAATGAAGGAAATTAAATCTGTGCAAACCAACTTTGAAGCTCTGAAACATAGAATAATCAACCCTACTCACTCAGTGCACATGGTTTGGTCTATTTAGCCTTGTAAGACAACCGGCATCAATAAAAAGAAAAAAAGTTTGTTTGCTCGGTTTTATTTACAGTCGACTTCAGGGAGCCCAAAGGGTCTGCAGGCCCCAGCTTGCTCTCAAAATTTCACTTGTCCATTTTTAAGCTAAATTCATCTTAGTCCAAGTATATTTATTGACTGTTGCCTCGGAAACTTCAACGCCTACATTGGGTGGGCAAGTAAATGACACGTTTTACATAAAATTAAAGCTATGAGATGCCCAGCTATACCTGATTGAGGAGATTTACAAATATTCTTGTTATATACAAATACTTTTTCTCCAGTCACGAATATTTAATGCAGGTTGTCAGGGAATCTCTGCCTAACATATACTCATGCACAGGCACGTACCCAGGATTTTGTTTCGGGAGGGGGGGCCCATTCATGACAAAATGCTGTATGAGGGGGAGGGGGGAGAGGAGGCCCCAGCAAAATGGAAGATTTCGGGGGAGGGGGGGCCGGGCCCCATGGGCCTCCCCCCCCCCCCAACCCCTGGCTACGTGCCTGCTCATGCATAATAGTCAGTTTAATCTTAAAAGTATTAATGCAATGTAAATATTGACATTCACAAGGTTTCCGTTTCTTTTTAAATACACCAGAAGCGCACGCACCATTTCGTTTTGAAAGTGTGTGCTTTCCCTCTAAGCACACGGCTGCAATATTTGTTTTTTTAAAGTGTTGATTGTGGTGTTTTAGCCCCATTTAGTGTGCTTCTTACCGAACAGCAGTGCACTGGGGACAAGCTACACCTGGAAAAACGAGCTTCGTAGGTGTTGCTCCTCCGCAGTGCACTGGTGCTTTGTGAGAAGCACACTTAGAGAAGCTAACCTGCCGTGATTAACACTTTAAAATATAAATATTCTAGTTCACCTGAAATCAAATAGCATATTATTCGAAACTTCTCTTAGAAAATTCTAATATTTGCACAACAGTAAAAGAGGATGTTGGGCATGACCCAACACTATCTTCAAAATAAGGAAATTCAGGGAGATCACCAGCTGGTTCTTGCATAAGAACAGAACGCAAGGAGGAGCTCAATGCTTAAGGAATGTCATGTTTGGGAATGGGCCAGTTGTTCCAATCGCATAATGATATGGGCTTTGATTGGATAGGGTATTATAGATTGATGTGAACAGAGTGTACACTAACGCTTCGATCTCACTTTGGACTGTCCTCATCTATCGGGCTCTTAACATATCTCACTAGTACTTATTACAGAGGTGCCCGAAAGTGGTGGAAGCTTTCACTAAAATTGTGGAAAGATTGGCTTACCTGAGCAAATCACAAAAAATAAAAAAACGTCTTCCTTACAGACGTTTTTATTCTCCGTCGCATGGGCGCTGCCACCTTGCAATCACGTGACGCGGCCGCCATTAGGTTGCTCCAACTTGTTGCTCTCCCCTCCGTGCTTTGGTAGATGCGTTGTATTTGTGTTTTTCGTCGTGTTTCACCGCACTTGCCTTACTTCATGAAGTGTAGTCCGATACTTATGTCTACTACTTAATTGCATTACATCATAATGTGCGCAACTTCTGCTGTTCACTTTGTAGCACAATTTGCTTTTTTCATTGTCGGCATACCGGATGCGTGTGAGAATGAGGCAAAGGAATCAGCATTAGCATTGACCTGCATTGATTATGCAGATGACTAAGACATCACAAGGGTTCAAAAGTTAATTCCTTATGCAGGGTGTTAGCGACCGGGAAAACCGAGAATTGTCAGGAAAATTTTAATTACCGGGAAAAATCAGGGAATTGTCAGAGATATTATCAAAAAGCGAGCCCAGTCAGGGAAAATGAGCCAGAAACGGCATCGAATGCCCTGAGCAAAGACTTGAGGACTTAAGGGCAGAAAAATTGGCAATAAATTCTGCTTAGAGCGGAGCACGGGCTCTGCTCACCCGATGTAGAGTGTGCTACCCAGGGCCGTAACCAGGGGGGGGGTTAGGGGGTTCTAATCCCCCCCCCCCCCCGAAATTTTTTTTCTGGGTACGGCCCTGGTCGGTGCACTGGCAGCCAGCCGATTTTAATCTTCACCTCTGCGCACGCGCAGTGGCGCCGGTCGGCTACCGGGTACCAAACCGGGACCGGTTCTCCGGTTTGCTGTAACTCTCTATTATATGCCACCGATGCACATGATTCATAGGCGAAAACAAGACAATAGACACTTTCAAAATGGCCGCCGTTGTCCCCGAACCCCCCCCCCCCCCCCCCGAAATTTTTTTCTGGGTACGGCCGTGGTGCTACCTGATGCAAAGGGAACAGCCGAGAAATCCAGTCCAAGCCTTGGATTAGATTGGATTGAGGGCGCTACACTAGGCTATATCGAGTTAGAGCTACTAGATTTAGTAACAAATGGAAAAGCCACAAACCCCTATCCAATCCAAGCCTTAAGCCGAAATTATCCGAAAATGTGCATCTGGCGGCCATGCTGCTATTCGGTTATCGATGTATGTGGTTGAGCGTCGTCTTTTCATCGTGTTTCCACAAGTGCCCTCTTCACTGATGATGTCAGCGGCAAAAAAGCGCTAATTTTATCCGGACTGGGCGAACCCAAATATTTCGGAATATGCAAGTTGGATTAAGCCCGTGCAAAATGATCCTCACAGTGGTCAATGCTCAAGGCCTTGTATTGTAATGGTCTTATATATTTAACCACTTCTACAGTGGTCAGGGAATTTCACCTGAAATTGTCAGGGAAAACCTGGAAAAGTCAGGGAATTTCAAAATAATAATTTGCTAGACACTCTGTCATGACAACTGAGGTTTGTTTACTAATAGTGGTGGAACATTTGCTTTAAGAAGCGCATATATTTATATCGCGCATTTAGGTTTGGAAGATGTCAAGAATAGTCAGCGTAAAAAGACTATCTGTGTTTCCTGAGAGTATCACCCTTTCTATTCAGAATAGATTGAAAACAGTTTCTATTGATTATGTGAGAAAACTCGTGGAGGAGATAGGCTATGAATGTTTATTTTGTATTTTATCTGAGGCTAGGAATAATGGTACATCAACATCAGGCAATTTGTTTGTTCATAATGTCACACCTACATGTGTACAAGGTTCTGATTCTTTTTTGCGACGTAAACATTCGGTTGGTCGGTTTACTTATGAAGTTTAAGAAAATGTTTACCGTGCTCAGCCCCATTTTGGCAGTCTTTCAAGTGATTTATTGATTGTCTTTGAATAACCAGTTCAACCCACTTCATTTATTTTAATACAAAGGTTAAGACTTGCCACGTAAGAAAGTGCCCCAGACAGCTTAACAGTAGCGAGTTTTAGAATAGCTTACGCAAAGAAATAGCGTCGTCTTTATCCAATCCAAAACGCAGTTTGGGCTTGATGCATGCAGAATAATAACAAAGCTGTTTTCTTGTTGTTGTTGTTGTTTTTTTTCTTACAAAAAGGTTTTGCATATGCTGCTCTAACTCTCGTCAGTATCTGGGGTCTGCAATATTTGACACGACAAGAAAGCCGTCTGCACAACAATCACCCGAGTCCAGGGTTGTGATGGCGAACAGAGGTTTACTTTTAGTGGCTGGCGACGCCGAAATTCGCAAAGCGAGTCTGTTCAAACAAATAAATATTTGTTTGCACAGATCCGTGAAGTGGTGCTAGACTTAGCAAACTTTCCAAGGTACTTCTCCTGCACCCTTTAATTTTATTTGGCCAATTTTACGGAAAACAAATGTCAGACTTAATTTGATGGGCCTGCCACTTATGTCTTGAGTAAGCAAATGTCAATATAAAATAATTTAGTTCCTAGGGCCAATATTAGGAACAAAATAAGATTTGCTCACACAGGTCTATGAAATGGTGCCTAGCGCACTTCAGCCAAACTTTCTGAGGTATTTTTTCTGTGCCCTTTAATTTTATTTAACCAATTTTACAGAATACAATCGTCAGACTTAACTTGGTGCGTTCGTCACTTTTACGGAAGACAAATGCCACATTGAATTTGGCGGGCCTGTCAGTTATATTATATCACGAGTAAGAAAATGTCTATACAAAATAATTTATTTTGTAGTGCCAATATTGTGAAATGCTGCTTATGAATACATTAGCAGGGCTGATAATTTATGAAATTTCTTACTCGGCCTAGGCCGCACTGTCAAAATGTTGCTCGAGTACTTAAATAAAAAAGAATAAAGCAGGCCGAGACAATACTACTTGTTTTGTTTATGTAGATACCACAATTGTGTTTCGTTTTTTTTTTTATTTTTTTTATTTTTTATATAATGGTGTTAACTTGATCGCTGACTAACCCTTTACTACCAAGGGGTCCCTTCAACAGTTTTCTTTTGAAAACTTTGGGACCCCCGTCTGAATAAGTGTAATTATCTAACATCTTGTGTACAAATAAAAACACATTTTGACTTGACTTGACTTGACTTATATAAATATCTGCATCATTGTACAATACTTTTTTAGTCTGCGAAGTTCACTAAAAGTTATGTAACCACGATAACCAAACAGTGAGTAGTAGATTCGCGAGTTCATGTGTTTTGCCCAATCCATCGCACTGCTAATCGAGCTGTCAGTATGCTTCCTCATATTCAATCGATAGTCCCTTCATTAGTTTTATTTTTCGAAAAACTAGTGTTTTTAGAAATTTTTCTAAAAACTAGTGCTTTTAGAAAGATTACTATCGTCTACAGCCGTAGACGATGGTAATCTTCACTGTACGTCAGTCAGGCATAATGCAATTGACCATAATTAAATACATCAAGGGAGTATGTAAAAAAAAGAACAATTTAAGCTCAAAAACACCTCATAGTCCTCAAAGCGGCTCAATTCCACTATTTCATTGGTTGTGTGCTACAAGAAAAATAATTGTATCACAAAATTAAGCAAAAACTATGTAGAACCGAAACCAACCAAATTGAAGCAACCTAATAATGCCGAGTGCATCAGCGACTTCCATCTGCCGGTCAGACAGCTAGTACCTAGGAGTGAGATGAAAAGGTCTATACTTTGCGTGTGCACTTAGATAATATTTTGTGTCACTGTGGCGCTTCTTAGGGCCAAATAATGAAGAATAGGTAAGCCTATTGTATTTTCTTTCCTTTTCACTGATTTTTCAGTCGAAAAAATGCCAAAATAGCCCAGAACAATTTTTTCATGATTTCGAGAAAAAAAAAAAAAAAAAAAAGCTTAGCGGGAAGTTTTTTTCATAGGCAAAACCAATTTTTATTTTCTTTCTTTTGACTATGAAGGTTTCATGTATTCATGCTTTCAATTAATGATTGCACCACCTTCGGGCACCTCTGTAGTAGAGCCCAGCACAATACGTGGAGAATGGAGAAACCGATTTGTGCGAACTGGTCAAAGTGGGATTGAAGCGTTGGTGTACATGCTGTAGTTCTATTAAAATTAACTGAGCATAGAAGCGGACAAGTGGAAAGTTGGGAACAACCTTCACGAGTTCAGCTGAATTTTTGTCATGGTGAGGGTTAGTGAAAAGCTTGAAGAAACAATTTTATATTTGATTCGAAAATATTCAGCCAAAACCACTATTCACTTTGAATTAACTTCTAACTCAGAATCCACTACAGTCGCCGACCGATTTTTCGGACTTTGCAGGAACCGAAAAAACGTCCGAATAATAGAGCAGTTCGAAAAATCGGCAGATAAAAAGCTTGCTTTTATTACGTCTAAGCGGGCTTAAAAAAATGCCGTCAATAGTGCCTTGCTTCAGATTACGGCCCTGCTTGCGTTCGGCTGCTTTCTGTTAGCTTGTGAATTGCTACCTTCTTCTCTAGTCTTTCTGCGCTTCTTAGCAGCACTTCAGGGCGGCGGAAGAACAGACGGGGCCATGGGGGGACGTCCAAGCCAGCGTAGTCCGAAAACATGATTCACCGACATGAGATAAGAGGTGCAAGTCCACGACTGCAGAATGGCAAATAAACAAAGCAAAATAGTTACAGTGTTAATGATAATGACGTAGCATAGCGTCATTTGGCGGTAGAACTTCGCAGTACTCAAGTAGTGCTGCCAAACTAAGCTAATCCCCGTGCAGCCAACATAGAATCTAAAGTGGCGGCTCCACTGTGGTGTTTCCCGCTGATCGCTCGTGACAATTTTGTCAGAAAGATCAAACTTTTGGACTTAGGCTGTCCGAAACATGGTCGTGAATATGCACTGTTTCTATCAAGTAGGTCACGGTTCCTCATTTGGTCCGAAATATCGAACAAGTCAGAATTACCAGCGTCTGAAAAATCGGTTGGCGACTATATTTGCACATGCCTAGATAATATACAGTGAACCTCTAGATAAACGGCTGTTGTTTGTTTGCACTCCCCAGGTGATGGATACATTGCGACAGCTTCCAAACCAGCGTGTGCGTCTCTACATCGAAGAAATTTCTGTCGCAGAGAAGCAGGACTGGACTCCCATCAAGCTGGAATGCATACGTGAGGACAGACCGGACAATATGAGCAATCAAGCTTAGCTTTGCATTGTTTTAAAGCTGCACTATATGTCTTAAATTTTTGTTTTTAAATTAACTTTTTTTATTTAGTAAACAAAACATGTATGGCTCATTGCAACCTAAATTCGCTGGTTTTGCAACCTAAATTTACAAGAAGAAAACAAAAGGTTATCCTGACTCGCAGGCATATTCCTCATAAATAGTGATTGCTCACTCACATATTAACCGTAAAAAAATTTGAATGTGGTTGCATAGGTCTTATTGTCTTTATAAAGATGATAAAAGGAGGGGGGTTCTAGCTAGTCATTTTCATACACTGAATTGCACTTCGTTCATTTCCAAGTGTGTTAGAAGTGTTTGAGAAATGGGAAAGGGGGAGGGATTCTCTTTCCCTCCTTGAATTGTTTACTAGAAATATCTTTAATATCTAGGGGAGGCTGCTAAGTAGGGGGAGAAGGTGATCTACCTCCCCTGCCTCCATGTCCTGGCATCGCTGCCTCTAATATACGCAATAATCGGATGTAGAAAACAGGCAAGGGGACATTTCTAGGGACTCAACCAGATTTAGAAAATGTGCAGGAAGTTAACAGTGTATTGGTTGACTGAGCTCAAAACACGAGTTCTAAACTTTTGTTTCTAATTGTGATGTGTACCTGAGCTGCCAGGATGCAAAGCTCTTTGGCTTCCCAGACATTAAAGGGTTTCGGGGAGTCAGACAAAAGCCAATTGGAATGCTTGGAGCAAGAAGGGTGCAATACTCAAACTGGCAAATGGCGTGTCCAATGTTGGACCAAATTAATCGAATGTAAAACAGCAGAATAGAGTCCAATTGGTTCCCCTCCCCCCGTCGTAGGTGGGCCCGTGCCGGACGACCACTGGGTGCCCGTGCGGTCCAGTGGGGAGTATGTGCTCCAGGCCGAGGTGTCCCAGCAGCACGGCCGGGGCAAGGGCGGCTCCTTCCGGGCCCTGGCGCCCTGCTTCCCCAAGCCCAAGGACGAAGGCTGGTTCCTGGTGCTGGGGCACGCACAACGCAAGGAGCTGATTGCCCTCAAGCGTGTGGGCAGCCTGCGCTCCAACTCCAAGCAACACGTAAAGAGCAAACCGGCAACTGCTGGTCGTTTCTCCCCTTTGCCCTCGATTTGAGGGAAGTGCTAGAGGGAGTTCTGAAGACTTTATAACAGGTTCCGTGTTTTCGGTAGATACTACCGATGGGCTCCGAAAATTAAAACAGTTTTATCCAAATGGGGGAAAACCGAAAAAACCCTGAACTTTGTATGGTTTTATTTTGTATTACCCTGGAACGCAAAGCCCACTGGACTGTCCATGAGGCTGCCCTTTTTCTCCACGTACCGCTCCCCTTGTCTTGTTTTCTTTTCTTATCAGTACTGGTGTGTTTTCCGAGTATGTTTAGGTCATGCGCATGTCCCTTGGAGGTTGGGTATCCCATTCCCTTGAACTAGTTTCTTCATCATAAGCCCGGATAATTACCTCTTTTTTTTTTCCCGGTTTAAAATTGACACCGAAATGCGGCCGATATGTGGAAAACAATAAACCCTAAGAAAACAACCCCCAAATTCGAAGAAAAATAGACCCTTAGAACGGGGAACCCTGTTTATAACCTGGTTGACTAGCTTGGCCTAAGAAGTAGGTAATAGTGAAATAAACACGATTTTCTCTTAATTCAACTGCTAATAGCTGTGCAGTGTGTCCCAGACTTATGTTAGTGTGTCACCATCAGGCATTCCAGGAACTAGAGTTGTTGACAGGTTTAGAGTAAAGTGGAAGCTCATCCCACCTCTTTCCCTTTTGGCAGAGTGAACGCTGAACCTCCTTTCCAGCGTTTGCTCTGCTAAAGCGGGAAGAGGTGGGAGGAGCTTCCAGTTTACTCTGAACCCAGTCACCGACTCTACCATTTCAGCTCTTCAGTAACTTCTGGGTTCTTTCAAAACTACTATAGCACCCATCAAGGTTTTTCAGAGATTTTGCAATATTTAGTTGCATAAATAATGACTTTAATCAGAAATTAGATTTCATAGAAATGTATGCATCTTTTCTCTGTCCAGTGTTTGAAGAAAAGCTAGGCCTCTCTACTTGACTAGTCTAGTTCCATACCATGAACTAACCTTGCCACCCACTTCACTCAACAGTTGCCTGAAACAAAGCGTAGGTTTTCTGCCAATACCTTTTGCAGCTAGCTCCCTTGACTAGATTTTTAGTCAAGGGAGCTAGCTGCGTTCTTTGTCTTTGCTAGGCCTTGGTGAAATTTTGGCCGCCGTTCTGGCCTCCTGATTCTTCCTCTCACTATCTGCTACTTCTGTGCTTTGTTTCGTCATTCTGTTATGAGGTTAATTGCACCCTATTCTTTGTAGTACAACTATTTTTGTACTTTCAATAAATACCACTTGGAAATATTCCTTACATTCATAACTTACAAAACTCTCATTAGTTTTTCTCTCCACAATACAGCAGTCGCAAAATATTTTTAGAAAAAAGAGCAGCGTTCATCTCCTCAACTCGTAGCTCCTTAGAGCCAGAATGGACGGCTACGTGATCTGCTGCCGATTGCATGTAGCCACATGTTCATTATCATAGCCACGTGCTGGGGCTGGGAGAGCACAGTCTATGTGCTGATTTCGAGACAATGTTAGGTTTCGGCTATTCCCGTCATTACAGCGTTTGGATGCGAGCCGCTACCTGAACGCTCGTTACAGAATTAATTGTCACGAGCATAAATCAAGTACCCGCGCAGTGCCCGTGTCCAATCTACGCGGAGAGGAAGTTTGTCTGCTTCTTTTGCAGGGGTTGTAGTGACGTCGTAGAGCCCAGCTCTGTTTCGCTCTGATTGAAGGATAGTGGGTAGAGCTCAAAGCAAGCCACCTTCAGGTCTACTCACTGTCCCTCAATCAGAGTCAATCAGAGCTCGGTGTTCTGACGTCACCACAACCCCAGTAAAAGAAGCAGACGAACTTGCACCCCGCATAAGTTGTCTTTGACTATCATCCCGAAGGGGTAATTCCCGTAACTATGTCATCAGGTTTTACGAAGGAGAGACTAAAAGTCCGCTATTATCCTTGAAATTACACCGGGACAAGGAAGTTTCTTGGTCAGTGGCATTACTTGCAAGTATACTGGGGTCCCACTAGTGCCGGTAAGCTTGTATAAAGGGAGAAACATTCCAATCTACCAGGTGTCTCAAGTAGCGGCCAGGCTCTTTAAATCGAAATCGAAAAGTGAAGCCACCAGTCTTCAAACAATAGGTTGCCCTATTGATTGAAGACCGGTGGCTTCGCTGGGTTTCCATAAGAGTTGAGCCTTTTTCTTTCTTTACTATTTCCTCAGGTAACTTCGCTCTTTGCAAATTTTATAGAAAAAATGCACCACCTGTGGGAACGCTGCACAAAATCATAGCGCAATAGGTTAAGAAACTGAATTTTGCAGTCAATTTAAAGAGCCTGGCCGCTACTTGAGACACCCGATAGTATCGTTGCACGACCTTTTCAAGGCACCGTTCCTGGAAGGCCAAACCGAAGTTGACCCGTTGCCTTCCTTTCCTTGCAGCTCACTTTCCGAGCGCCCCAGGAGGTCGGGCGTGTCGTGTACACCTTCTACCTGATGAGCGACAGCTACTTGGGACTTGACCAGCAGTACACCGTTTGCCTTGACGTCCAAGAAGCGGGGAGCAAGGCCTACAACTAGGCATGTTGTATGCAGTGCCCCCGTCAAACTCTGTCAATAAAACCTTATTTTCTTAAACGTTCAATTGTTGCTGAATTTGCATGCTGTCTGTTCTGAATTTGCATGCTGATTGTTGCTGAATTTGTTTACATCTGCCATTTTTTGTGGATGCGCTGCAGGTGCTGGCGCGTGAAAGGTAATGATGAATAAGAGGTTAGAGCGTGCATGGTTTTCACGTGAATGCCATCTAATAATTGGGGTTTTGGGGATATTTATACAGCGCGTAGTTTGTCAGCCATTTCAAAGTTGCGACAAGTCACTCGCTGTAGATGAGCAACACGACCGCACGCCGGTACGTTGCTGATCCAAACCGAAACGGGCAGGGGTGGGGATTGAACCCAGATTTAATTCTACGAGGGGCTGCGGCAAAAAGTCACGGCTGCATCGCGTCGGGAGCCACAGTGTATTAATAAAAGTGTCTTTCCTTTATCAGCTTTATGTGGAGTTTTAGGTTTATCTATCTAAAACAAAAAATTTAGACGTCATAGGTTTTTTGTTTTTTTTCTTCTTTCTCCTATTTGAAACCGAAAATGCTACTGACAGAATCCGACACCCAGATAGAATGGATGGCTTATCTTTCATTTCCAAATTCCAGCACAAGTGAAAAGTTGGATGAGGAGAAAACACGCAAAATGCGTCCAATTAAACGTAAAATAAATTAAAGAATACACGGATTATTTTATTACGAAAAAATCACCGAAGAATTTGGGAAGTAAACGAAGCCGTTCGCACGTTCCAAACAACTCAACCAATCGTAGCAGACAATAAAGCAAAATCGGCTGCGGTGGCCATTTTGGAGTTCGAGAAGGTTTGTGCTGGTAAGTGTTGTGCGTCTCGCTTGCCTTCTTGTCGGGGCGTTTTTACCGTTTTGCGACCCTTCGCCGGACTCAATTTGAACACCGCGTCGGAGGTAAGGTTCCTCACAAGGTTTTCGTCTCTATTTCAGCTTGGAAAATCCACCAGGAGCCTGCAACCGCAAAAAAGTTCATCATCCGGAGCTAAGCCTATCGCAGGATGGCTTGCGCAACATTAAAGCGAACACACGATTGGGATCCGCTGCATAGTCCAAACGGAAGATCGCCCAAACGACGGAGATGTATGCCTTTGTCGGTCACACAAGCAGCGACTCCCCCAACAAGGGCACACCAAATCAACCCTTCACCCTTCGGTGAAGTGCCACCGAAATTAACTTCAGGTAAGGCTGCGCTTTAGACTGCGAAGGCAAGGCCTTGCACGCACGCTTGCGTTTGTGCAGCGTTGGGGAGACAGCATTGAGCTTACTGCTTCCTGATGGGGCTACTGAGCTTATTACGCGTCGCTAGCGGTATATAAAAAAAAAAAAGAAAAGCGACACTGGGATTGGTGAAAGGGCTACGGCGATTAAAATCGGCCTCTGCTAATTGCGTTGTCTGAGGCGATGGGATAACGACTCGGATGCAACGGACATGGGACATTCTGTTCCGTGTTGCGCCTTTTTGACGGGTAGCTATTTCGTCTGTTTTAATCAATGGGCTTGTAGCTTGAAAACGCAATGGCAAAGTGACAGCGCCGAATAAAGGCTACTTCCCGACCAAATGTAGTGGACGTGCGATAGGGGTGGTTGGCGGCGCACCTTGCATTCAAGTAGTTGGCTGGCGGCCTCTACTTCAAGGTCTCGGTCTTTATTTTTGCTGATAATGTTTCTTAACGCGTGGATCACAAAGGTTACGCGACTGCTTGTCACCAGTTTCACTGCGCACGTGAATGGCGTGGGGTCATTGTGAACGCCGACGTTATTGTCAAGCATGGCGTTTCCTGTTTGACGAACGCATTTGTTTGCTTTACATTGTGAAAAGTGTCGTACTTGGGGCCATCGTGCGAGTCTGCTTAGTTGAACGAAGCAGAAAAGGAGCGCTGTTTTTGCCAGTTTGTTCCTCGGAGATGACTGGCTGGGAAAGAAGTTAACGTCTGGTGGCACTTTGATGGGTTGTTATGATCTAATATGCATGTTTAGTTGTGCTTTTCCTAGCAAAATGCATTCCATTTTTTTTATTTGCTGGCGTTGCTCCTCACACTGGTAAAAATGTTTTTTTTTTTTTATAAAAAAAGGGACGATCAAATGTTTTTTTTATATATATATATATATAAAGATAAACTACCAGAAAAACATTCTATGTATATGATTTAGTTTTCTGTTTGTATACACCAGCTACATATTTGGAAAAGTTTTAATTGTGATTGGCCCTTGTTTTGTTGTAGATGTTTTGTTTATTTGATGTTATGTGGGGACATGAGTAAGCTAATGGCCAGTGGGCTCTTGATTGTCCCATGCCAAACATTTCAGTAGGAGTTTTGATCCCTGTGTCATCACTGTGGTGACAGTATGTGTATGCAGATTGCAGTAATCACTTTCCTAAAGGGGTCATGAAATGATTTTTTTAGCTTGCTCCTTAGCTTTCCTCCACAACTCAAAAACGAAATGAGAAATCATGTGGTCGTGGCGTAGTATTTTACCAATTGCGATGACTCGCAGCTTCCTTCATGTTTTTTATGCACACCATGAAACTTGTCATTTACAAGTGATTAAAAGCTTCCTTCATGTTTTTAAGCACACCATGATACTTGTCATTCACGTGTGATTAAAAGTGCCGCGAATGCGAATCCAAATATTCGTCATTGGATTGATTGTTGACTAGCGCATACATCCGAGTGACGTTGTGCTCGTGTCCAGTGTGAGCTGGGGCCGGCTGACGTGCTTTGGTACTGCGGATGTATCAGTGAAAAGATTTTCGAAGGGGAGGAGGTAGGAAATAGGCCGCTATATTTTAAAATTTTCGCACCGAAGAGCAGGCTTTTGATTTTTTACTCCTTTTTTTTTTTGGCCCACTAAATGATATGCGGTTAGTAAAATCCCAATCTAAAATCATTTATCCCAACCCAAAATTAATTTCATGGCTGCTCTGAGGTTCCAAATGTCAGTCATCATCATCAGAAACACTTGCATCCACATAAAATACTTTCCTCTAAGTTATGAAGAATTCGTTAGGTGGGATCTCGGGCAGTTTTGGAGTGCTTTTTTGTTGGTATATTCTTGCAAATGGAAGCGTGCACTAGCATCTATAGGTCAAAAGGCATGAGCATAGGAGGACACTTTTGAATCATTCAAAATTGACCATCGGGATTTTCCTTTTGGCTTGTGATCTGGATGAGTGCATGTGTATTGTTTCCCCTAAAGTTCAGAAAAACACTAGTAAGTCAAAATCTTTTTTCTATTATTATTATTTGAAACAATTGAAAACGATACGTGAACATTACCCTCAAAATTCAAAACTTAGAACTCTGTATTTTTGAAGTAAAAAAACAATTTCTTGAAGTTGAATTTGAAGTTCCCGCACAATCCCCACCAGTGCAGTGACGTCGAAGACTGAGTTGTCCTGCAATTGAAGTTTCTCTCACGCCTCCGTGTCATGTTCCCCCGCGTCCCGCGGTCAACCTATTCGTGCGTGCTGCCCATCACTGTGAGCAGACGACGCTTCACTTTTGATATTGAAGTTCTTTTAGGGCTCTTCCAGCGATCTCAAATTCATTGAAACGGTCTGAGGTCGAAGAGAATGCGCAGTGGACTTTTGTGAGCGACGTGAGGGGTCATGTCGCACCGGTTGTGTGTGAAGGGCTGCCCCGGTGGAGTTAAACAAAACTATGGTACGCAGACACCAAGCCCAGTTGTTTTGGCCCTTTGACGATTTCCTTTTCGGAGTCAACAAGAGAACTTCGTCCGATTCCCCAGCTCGCCGATCATCCTCAATGCTACATGTGTCGGGCACCGCCATGGTTTTTGGGGGAGGATAAAAAGCCAGGAGGCAACATCACTCTGGTCTCCGATTTTCGATATTTCAAAAAGAGTGCGTTCACAATCACATTAAAAAACGTTTTACGAATGCCATTATTAAATATTATAGAAATGTCGCTTAGAAAGCTTCTAAATTTCATAATCGATTATGTCACAAATAAGAAGAAAAGAAAGGTGAGGAGCGAGAGAGAAAGGCGCAAAAAATAAAAAGGCACTCGCGTGCGTGCGAAGTTTTTCGCGTTCTGGTACTTTTTGCGTGTCTGACTACAACTTGCGCTGTTTTAGGCAACAAAAACAAATGCACGACTTTTGGGGTGTGATGCCCCTTTAAGCCTGGTTGGGACACTAACATTATTTGTGAAGCATTATCAAATCCCTGTTGAGATTCAAATGTTTGATTACAACATTAATTCTGTTTACTCTGATCGTGAGATAAGCTGGTTGTCAAGGCTGTAAAAGATAGTGGCCTGGTCTCCCACAAACAACATGGCATGTTTTGTTGGCAGCTCTAAATTTGGGTTCAGGTTTGTGCGCGATAGGGTAACTACGGAGCCACCCATTTGTTTAATTGTGTCTTCGAAGTTAACAACACTTCTATTAACACCCGGACATTTGAAGTGGCCATGAAGGGACTTTTCAACTTCTTCCTTTTTTGCTTTCCCCCTCAACTCACAAATCGTGCAGCGTTACCAAAGGTACAGGGGCAACAATATACCGCTAGCAGTTCAAGAGGAGAGAAAAGGGGAACTCCCCTCTTGCTTGGACCTTCCTTTGTGTCCTGCACGTTGCCATTCTCCTCCTAGAAGATTAGCACATGGCTCGAAATTCCTACAAAAGATGCCCCCTTCCCTCTCTCCCTCTTCTGCCCGTAGCTTCCGCAGTACTGCATGCAACTATAGGGTGACCACCCGTCCCGCGACTCGCGGGACTTTCCCGTATTGGGGGCTCGTGTCCCGCATCCCGCAAGAAATTCTCAAATCTTCAGAAATGTCCCGCATTTCATACTGTAGTAAAATTTGCTCTGCAATTCATGGTGCTGCCAAACAACGGGGCACGGGGAACCGCGGAGGTCACTGGTAATCATGTGAATCGCAATGGTACGCCATTTTCTATCCAAGCGTTGCGGGAAGCGACCGTCGTTCTTGCAGGAGTACCAAAGCGCATGCTCCGTTGTGCCACTCACCGTGGTGACAAAATATTGTAAGAAAAATTGCTTGCCAAAAGTTTAAATATAAAATATTGTAATTATTTTCAAACCGCTGCGTCAATGTGAATGGGTTGCTGTGGATTTGTTTTTAGTGAAGACAGCCTTACAAGGTGAAATGCCTGCAACTTACAAGTGTCGAAAAAGAACATAATGTTAAAATTCTGTGTAGGACCGTGTTGATAAAAGTAAGCGATGACAGGAAACAATAACTCGAAAAAGATTTACTGTTTCTCATTTCCATTTGATGCATTGAGCTCTGCTAAAGTCAATTTTTATGTTTTCAACTTTAGCACATTTAATAACATATTTGGCATAAAAGGATATATCCCTGGGTGTGTAAATTATTTGAGCTTAATTGCTGCAATACAATTAGCAGGTGTATAAACAGTATTGGATATTAAATGTGTTTACAGAGCCTCGGTTCGTGGTATGCTTGTTAAAGGGATACTGAACCAAAGAATTTAGTGCCCATAATAAGTGGCGCACATTCTTTCCACGGGCCAGCAGCCGCCGGTGTGCACGAGCACACGCAACAAAAATGACGCCAAAGACCTCCATTCGCGCTTAAGAGGACAGTGAAATGCATCGGCTTCGGGCCAAAGGAGAATAAAGACAGGTTTTTCATCTCTACAAGTGAAAGCTACGTGCTTGTTAGACATTGTTTACCTTTTACACCAGACACCATTGTGTAGATGAAAAAACTTGTCTTTATTCTTCTTTGGCCCGAAGCCCATACATTTTACCGTCATCTTAACCGCGAATGGAGGTCTTTGGCGTCATTTTTGCTGCGTGTGCTCGCGCACACCGGCGGCTGCTGGCTCGTGGAAAGAATGTGCGCCACTTATTATGGACACTAAATTCTTTGGTTCAGTATCCCTTTAAGAAATTTCCACGAACCCCCCCCCCCCCCCCTTGTGTCCTGCATTTCGCTAGCAGGAAGGTGGTCACCCTATGCAACTATCCTCCGTTCACCCCTAAGCTGACGGCGCTGTGAACACTATGGGCTCATTGGGCCAGTCACACTTCTGTCTTTTGCCACGGGATCACGGTCCCTCATGCAAACCCACGTGTGGAGAATGGGGTCAGGTGATGAAAGGGAGGTGGCCGATCGGTTCGGCAAGCGCATAGCTCCCACCGCACTGTCAGCTTAGGGGCGAACAGAGTATAGGGAGACAGTGCTGTGATGCAGTGCTTTTTACCGCGGGTGTATAGCAGTGAAAAGGCGGAAAGTTTTCGAAGGGAAGAAGGTTCAAAATAGTCAGCCATGTTTTGAAATTTCCGTACCAAAAAGCGGGCCTTTGACTTTGTGTCCTCTTCCTTTTGGCCCACTAAACGATGTGCGATTAGTAAAATCTCAATCTAAATTCATTTATCTCTGCCCAAAATTAATTTCAAAAAGTGGATTAGTAGTATTGACATCAACGCGCATAGGTTTTGGGTGTAGAAAGCACATTACAGCCTGATCACAGGATCAACAATTGTTTTGATGTTGCTCGTGGATTTTAGCATCTAACACCAAACCGTACCAGGTAAAGAGTTTGGTTCTCTTCAAGCATCCGCCACCAAACTAATTATTTCAGAAATAGTCTCTTATGTCTCTTATTCATGCAAAAAAAAATGATGGCAACCCAGGATTGAGCTGTGCTGAGCTGTGCTGCACACACTACAACAACCAGGGTCTTATACCCGTGCCACACGGGCAACTCGAATGCCATTTACAACGAATGACATTTGTGTGATCGGCAAATCAGCTCGCAATCTGTCGCGCGTGGAATGCGCTACGCCCGTAGTGTCGTGCGCTTATTGGCCGTTCGCTCAAACGTCATTTGTTGTAAATGGCATTTGAGTTGCCCGTGTGGTATGGGTATTAGTTATTGCTTTAAAAATGTATCTAAAGTACAGTTACTGGTGCCAAAATGTACCCAAGGTAGTTTCTCACGCCGCAATGTACCTAAGATGCAATTGCTTTTGCTCAAATCTACTTTTCGAATGTGCTTATACCTACATTTGGGTAGTTACTGTTGTATCTGGAGAAATGGCCCACCTAAAATCGGGATAAAACAGGGGGTGGGCTAACTTTTGGTGTATAACCAAGAGAAGTTGGGGAGAAAAAAAAACTTTTAGGAAATGAGTGTGAAGGTGTGTTTACACTTCATTCAGCCACCCTCAAAGCATTTGAGCAAGCAGTCACTATCACTTAAAGGCCGACGACCAGACACACGATTCTGCAAGGCAGAATGTCCTCCTCACCCTAGGGGAGGGGAAACAGGCAACGACGGACAGGGTAGAAGGGGGGAGAGGAGGAAGCGGGGGAAAAGTGGAAAGCGCAAACTGGTCGTCGGTCTTTAAGCAAAATGTTGATAACTTTTTGCATGGGTCCTTGACCTTTCAGAGTTGTTATCGCAGCAGGGGGGCTATGAACCAAAGACGACTGTTCTCCCGAGTCGGAATTTATCGCCTGCCTAACTGTCCTCGTTTCAGCAGAGGTCGCCATTGGGCAGTGCAATTGCAAACACCGGGCTATCTTTCGGTGTTTTGAGAGAGAAAAAAAATACCGAATCGTGGCAAACATAGGAGTGCGCTATCTTTTGGGGGCGGGCTCTAGGGATATTGTGGTACTTCAAAGGTACTTTCTTTTCGCTCAACATTCGTTTTAATGAGTATCACTTTGGTAGCAATTACTTTGGAACTGATGTGGCAGTAATTGACTGGGAAGAATTACACGAAACCTAGATCTCTTCCTCAGTTTGTTCATTTGAGAAAAATAAGCCTGTACTATAGTAACCCCTTAATTGCATGCTTTGGCAAGAAAGTCTGGATATACAAAGGGGGATTGGTGGCCAAGTGGGCTAGCGCACACCAGCTCGGAGCATGTGGAGCAAAAGCTCGCGCTGCAGAACCCAGGGATCCTGGGTTCAATCCCCGCCCCTGCCCGTTTCGATCTGGATGAGCATCGTACCGGTGTGCGGTACGATGCTCATAATGTGCACCACACTACTGTGTGGTGCACATTAAAGACCCCAGGCTAGCGGTTGTTCTGCACTGGCTAATTTGCTCATCTACAGCAAGTGACTCGTCGTAGCTTTGAAATGGCTGACCGACTACACGCTGTATAAATATCCCCACAACCCCAATTATTATTTTTCTGAATATACAGACGGTGTTGGAATGGACAGTCTGAAAAATGCACTTTGTAAATCAGATTTATTGTTGACAGTGGTGTAATTAGCCCAGTCCTGGGCTGATAGACATTTTGCTAAATTGCCCAAGCACCAAGGAACATGCTGCTAATGTAGTGACACACACTGACATCTGCAGCAGTAACTGTTCTAAAGCAGGAGCCTTTAACAGATGGCACTTTGCATGCACATTCTTCACTGCCTAATTGTCACATAATCTGCTTCTAATCTTTTAGGTTGATATTACAAGCAGATGCAGTGTGTCTGCCTAAGCAGCATTCTCCTTAGTGCTCGGGTAATTGGGCAAGAAATTTATTGCTTCCATTAGGTTATCATCTCGTGCATAGTTTTACTCGAGGACAACTTATCCCAAATATTTCATCTGATCAGCATTCTATTGTGTCTCTCCGTCTTGTTTCAGATGCAACATTTATGTTCGGAAATTTCTGAGCTGCACAGACTTGTATGAGTTTACTCTTTGCTGCATAGACACAAGCCATTTTCAATACTAAAAAAATACCTGCAACTTACTAGAAATTGTACCTAAGATTCAGTTGCAGTTACCTAGAAATAAAGGCAATTAAAATACCTAGGTATAACCGATTTGTAGTTAGTAATACCTAGGTATTTTATAGCACTGACAATGACTGGTCATCGGTAGACTAAGGAGACTTAGGTCATTCGATTGTTTCATGCCTCCAGCATGAGCCTGTCACCATTTGTAGTTTCATTCTTTTCCCTACATGCTTGAGGTTCATACAACATTAGAAAGTAGGAACCCTGCACAATGCAGAATGACCGGCAGGCCTCCCTCTTTTTGATGGAACTGCCGATTAATTATCGGTGTATGCTACAAGCCTAATCCTACGGTATTTTGAGCTGCAGAAAGTGGGTCATTCCTTGGTTCAGAAAATAAGGGGGGTTGAAGTTTGAAACGCGGTCAAATAATTCCATTCTGCAACTGTTGGAGCGTGTCGAAAGCGTCTGGGCTCACCGTTTTGTTTCCCGTCTCCCCCTGACAGAGGAGATAGCGGCCAACATTCGGGAGGAAATGCGACGTCTCATTCCTTGGTTCCGAAAATAAGGGGGGTTGAAGTTTGAAACGCGGTCAGATAATTCCATTCTGCAACTCTTGGAGCATGTCGAAAGCGTCTGGGCTCACCGTTTTGTTTCCCGTCTCCCCCTGACAGAGGAGATAGCGGCCAACATTCGGGAGGAAATGCGACGTCTGCAGCGGCGCAAGCAGCTCTGCTTCTCGTCTCCCCTGGAGTCGGGCTCCCCGTCGGCGACTCCCCCTGCGGCCGATTGCGGGCCAGCCTCCCCCACGGGCCTGTCCCCCGGGGGCCTGCTGTCGCCCGTGCGCAGGGACCAGCCCCTCTTCACCTTCCGCCAGGTGGGGCTCATCTGCGAGCGCATGATGAAGGAGCGCGAGAGCCAGATACGCGACGAGTACGACCACGTTCTGTCTGCCAAGCTGGCAGGTGAGTGAACCCACCAGGAAGCTTCGCTAATTCCCCCCCCCCCCCCCCGTTTGCCGCAACTTTAGTACGTCCATTCGCGTCTTGCAACTCGTCGGAGCTGCACGGGCGGCAACAATTGTAATCATGAGATGCACCTTTTTTTTATTTTGGTTATCATTATTGTAATATCGTTTGCACTGTTTTGGATTGTTTTAAAAGGTAGGATGGAAAGCACTAATTCTGTTTTCGTTGAGCACATTGGTAAAGTTTGATAACTGGCAGCATCTGATTCTGTGCACGGAAGGGACGGAAATGTCGTTGCTCTAGAGCAGGGGTCCCCAGCCCGCGGAAGTCTTCCGATTTGCACGCGGCTCGTTTCCAGCAGACCCACCGCTACGGCACAAAAAAATGTGCTCCTAAATAAACAGCAGCGTCATGACCAGGGTGTCGAACCGAAATTTTTATCGGTTCGGTTCCGGTTCGGGTTCACGGCTTTCGGTTCGGTTCCGGTTCAGTTCCGGGGAGCCAAAAATAGCGGTTCAAACCGGTTCAAACCGGTTTGAACCGCTAAATTGAGAATATATTTTCCGCGTTCTTTTGGCAATATACACTATTTCCGTTGTGAAACGATTAACTATATAGTTTCTTCGATCGTCCGTGCAATTTACTTTTGTTCTTAGGTACCAAAAATATTAAATTCAGTTTAATTTTGACGCAAGAGTAGAAGAAAATCTACATTAACATACATAACGTCGTGTTCATACGACTCAATATTTATTTGTTTACGAATAAAATATATTTTGCCTGAATCAAAATGTTTAAGTACAAGAGTAAAGAGTTGAGCTTGTTGGTACGTACCTGTAAATAGATCAGCTTCTAATTTAGAACTATACTGTATTTTCTTGTCCTTTATTCGTGTTAAAGTACAATTCTAAAGTTCAAGCTGATCTATTTACACGGTATAAAATGTTGTCGCGAAGTGTGGTAGGTCGTCTAAAATACCCGTGTTTGGTACAACTTTGTTTGTCAGTATTAAAAGTGAAATCGTGTCATTGAACTAAGGAATTAATTACATCACATAAAAATATGAAATGAGCATGCACCTCGTAGCCATATATCATGAAATAAGGTTTACGAAATACACTTCACAATATTTATATATATATATATATATATATATATATATAGAAACACCGAGCGGAAATCCGAATGCCTGTTGTTCTAACCAAACATTGTTTACTCTCAGCACCGCACGCATGCGACTAATCATGGAGCAAAGAGTAATTGCAATTGTTCACTCTAATATATACGCACCTTCGCACTCAGGTCGAATCTGGCCCAAAATAGCGCTTGCCCAAGTGAACATTTTCTTATACAGAATAAGCTGGCATAGCCTAGCTGTTGAGGTTTGTTGTGGACAAGATGCCGGACAATTTAATTTGCAAATGAGCATCACCCTTGCTAATTGATGATTTTAACACGATAGCGTTAACGAGCTCATGTCGCAGAAAAACCGATGTCGGTGGCGTGACTGGAAAATCCTGATGGGTCGATAGGTTCATGACGTCAGAGCTACATACCCTAGCGCAAGAATTTTAAACAACCCACAATGCTTACGTGAAACGTGACATCACGCGTGGAATGAGGGTGATCAAAACATGATATGTAATGCGAAATAAAGGTCACCGTATGTTTCAAATGATTTCACTTTTGAAAGTAATTCCTTTGTCTTAAAGAAAAAATTAAAAAGTTTAGGCAGGATTCGAACCCACAACCCTTTAGTTGCGAGTCAGACGCTTTTCACTAGGCCACGCGAGGCACGCTTGCGCGGCAAATGAGAATGCGATACAAACGAGGCCCGTTGACGCGATCGCGTTCCACTTTTAAAGGCGAAGTTTAAGCGTCCTTCAAAATTCTTTTTTGTTTAGTAAAACGAAGTAGTATTTCACGTTCTACTCGACAAGGCAGCTACTTAATTGGACACTTTCTGACGGTTTGCGTGCGTATCATCATAGTTCCACCGCGCGCCCCTGTTTACTTTCTTTTCGTCCAGCCCACAGACACATAAAACTAATGTTCACCAGATAAAAAAGGCAATAACAGACTTTTATATGTTTGAGAAGTTATATGTGCGAGGAACACATAATTATTTAAATTAGCTTCAAGATCAGAAATGTATGTAAGGCCGTCCCATATCACTTACAACGTGCCTGTCGAGGATAAAAACGCCGGAAAAGATTGGCAGAACCGCTTTCAAATAATTTGGGGGGCATTGCTTTAGAGTGGTCGGCCCTCTATCTATGTTGTCAAATATTCAATTAGTAATTAAATATATTTTATATTGATAAAAAAAATTTTACTTTATAAAGTTCACATAACCGCTTGAGACCGACGCGGAAGGACGATACTCGAAACTACGCAAGCTGTGGAGTCTACGTAAAAGTGTTTTTTTTTTCAGTTTGCTGATTGGCAGTGTGAAACATCGGGTTGCAGGGTACGCTAAAAAGGACTCTATGCTCGCATGATGAATTGGAAGTCAAATACACGAAATGTTCAAAAAGAGAGAGATAATTAATGTTATGTTTTCCAAATAATCCCCTCCAGAACGCCTTACTGGAAAAAGAGATGCGTAAAGATGCACGCAATGATATTCATGATTTTACATAAATAGCGCGAAGGACAGACAAAGATTTTTGAAATCTTAGTATATTACATTTCATTAGCTTGCATGAGCTCGAAACTTCCGAAATACTGCCTCGGGAGGCAAATGTTATATTCGGTTTTACGTGCACTTGTTTTGGGCCCTCACTTTACAGCACTATACGAGAATAGTCATGCGTTCTAACATTTCTCTAGGCTGCCATATCTCATCGCGAGACTGCTATAAATACTTCACAAATTTACAATTAGGACATCTATGGCTAGTGTTTCTTCATACAGGCCTATTTCAATATTGTCTTGCATATCCCAGATATTAGAGAAATATGTTTTTGTCGTTATGTCCGGGTTTATTGAGAAGTACAACATAATCTCGCCGCATGAATACGGGTTCGTAGCTGGTCGCGGTACCACTCATCTTCTTGAGACTTTTTCTGACATGATACACTCGTCCTTTGAAAACAACATGTATACGTGCGCCATCTTCATTGATGTCGCCAAGGCATTCGATACCGTTAACCACACCATCCTTTTAGACAAGCTTCATAGGGTGGGCTTTCGCGGTCCGTTCCATGATTTACTAAAAAGTTTTCTCACGAATCGTTCCCAAGTTGTATCGATAGATAACGTCCGCAGTTCTCATGCTTCCTTAACCTCTGGTGTTCCACAGGGCTCCATTTTGTCTCCACTATTATTTAACATTTTTGTAAACGATATTTCAACAGTAATGACCACTTCCAATTTATTTCAATACGCGGATGATACTCTCATATTCTCACAGCATCTTATATACCAGCGTGCAATAGAAATGCTCCAAGCCGATGTAACTAAAATAATGGACTGGTTCTTAGCAAATAAGCTTCGTGTAAATGCTTCCAAAACCAAGCTGATATGCTTTCACAATCCATTAAAAAATGTCAGTTTGACTTCTCCACTGTTTCTACACGACTCCAGCTGCTCATGTGATAATTGTAAACCTGTTGAGTATGTGGGCTCAGTGAAATACCTAGGCCTTAACTTTGACTGTGATCTTTCGTGGAACACACACGTCTTATATATGCCAACGATTGAGAACTGTTTCTTGCTTGCTTTACCATATAAAAGGATTTCTACCATTGTCACTTAAAAAAAGCATTACGCACGCGTTAGCCTACAGCATACTCAGATACGGCATCACTGTTTTTTTTAACTGTCCTCAGTTCTGGCATCTGAGAGTTGATCGTATTCTAAAAGGAATATTGAAAAGTGTCGCATATAGCAAAGACTTTCTATCCTGTGACAACTTGTTTGCCACTCTCGAGTTACCTTGTTTCCACTCACTATTTCTCCAAACTGTTATCTGGCGACACTTCTGGGGAAGTGAGTTCAAAGTGTCGTCAAGTCCACTTCGTGATATGAGATCTGCTCCGCGTTTTCGAATTCCACGGATAAGGACTCATTATGGTGAAAGTATTCGCTCATTCTATGTCCCAAAAATATTTAATGAAGACCCTGATTCTTTGCTTCTCCTTACTTCAAACAAGACATTAAAGAAATTTCTGAGGAGCTCGATCTCCGACGTGTATAGACAGTGAACTTTACTGCTTTTAACTCTTGTTTCTTTGTCCTTACATATTGCATATTCCCTTGTGTCATTCTTTTTTCTTTTCTTTTTTACTAAAGCACTTATTATTTTTTTTATTTTTTTTTTTGGACACACAACGTGACTAGTGGATGTATTGTGTGAAATTTGCTATTTGTTCCTATGCATTTTGTTTTTTGTGTGAACACACCCTGAGTGAATTTGCCTGACTCGGCAAGATACATTCGTGTCTCCACTTCGATATTTATTGTTGCATTTTTGCGTAATTTCGTGCGCGAAAGTGTGTGCCATCCAGTGCTTTTTTTTTATGACTCATCTTTATGCTACATACAAACACGACTAAAACACCGACTCTGACTTCTCGCCTGTACATTGAATGTGTGTGTGTGTGTGTGTGTGTGTGTGTGTGTGTGTGTGTGTGTGTGTGTGTGTGTGTGTGTGTGTGTGTGTGTGTGTGTGTGTGTGTGTGTGTGTGTGTGTGTGTGTGTGTGTGTGTGTGTGTGTGTGTGTGTGTGTGTGCGTGCGTGTGTGTGTGTGTGTGTGTGTGTGTGTGTGTGTGTGTGTGTGTGTGTTTTCCCCTATGTTCATGGCAATGTGAGTCCGTGCGAATATCCAGTCTGCCACACCAAATGCTGGATCTGGTCCCACAAGCCTCTGCTGCTTTGACCAGACCCGAGACTCAAGTGGTTATATTTGCAATGTTGAATAAAAAATTATTATTATTATTATTATTATTATTATTATGATTATTATTATTATCATATTTCACCAGAAAGCTGAA